CTTCAGACAAACACATGGCATATTCCTTTTGTAATCTTAAAGTCATTTTTTAAACCAATGAAATTCAATTGTTCAGCACAAAATATCCTAAACATTTAAATTTTTATTATTGACAATTTTTCAAGTAATTTAAACAAGTTAGAATGTTCACACAACTTTTGACCATTTTCTTTGAATATTCTTTCAATGTTTTTAGCAATAGCACTATTATTCATAAAATTACCACAATTGTTAGAACGAAGAATATCTTCTTCCTCAATTAGACCATCATTACTTGTGTAAAAGTGAATAAACAATAAAGCATAAATATTATTCTTATCCATATCAAGGGCATGAAGTGCAAGTAGGAATGATTCGTGACTTCTATCAGAGTCCAAGCTGTACAACAACAAGGACTGAATAAGAGTCATACAAGAGTTTAAGGAAAGATTGATACTAGTCTCCCAATCCTTAAATATCATAATGTAACTGTCCTCTGAATTTCCAAAAAAGTTTTTAGCATGCATATCACTAGATGTCTCTTGTGTATCCTTACTAATTATTGATACAGGTTCCTTATTAGAAGAAATTGAGGTAATATTCTCAAATATCCTGGCACAATCTAGTAATTCTTCAGAGAAAGCATCCAAATGATTGAAACCATCTTTAGAATAAAACATGTGCTCTACAAAATAGAAAGCAAATATAAAGTAATCAGTTCCTGCAATATCAACACCTAATCTTAGACAGGAAACAAATCCTGTTTCGAGTATTGTATGCAAAATTTTCTCTCGTACACTATTTACATCGGTATTATTTGACATTTCAATATTGATAATTTTAGCAAAACTAGATTCATCCTCTTCAGTCTTTGATAACTTTGGGAGTTTAAAATTTTTCAACAATTCAATATCATACTGAAAGGAAGCATCGTCCTTATTAATAAGGTTGATAAAATTCTTAAATACCAACTTCATCATGAGTTTTGTGATTTTCACCAGACTCAATCTCTCTAATTGAACAACCCTATCAGTAGCACTATCACCATGGTCAATATCTAGGGTTGGATCCAATAATCTATCGTACAAGAATAAGTAAACTCCATATGCAGATAAGAACAATTCCCTCTTAGTTTCTCTCATTTGTCCAAAGAGAGGAGCAACTTGAACTATGGCTTCAAAGGCTTCTTCCATTTGTGAAATGCTATATGAGATTTGTTCAATATCGTTTTGGAGATTATCAGCTGCTGCTACTGATGATAATACACTCACTGATGATGCTGATGCGGAGGGAGTATTTACACTAGTTGTTCCTACAGTTGTTGTTAATTGAATGGAAGTACTACTAAAGCTATCTTCATTTCCTCTCTTTGATTTTACTCGTTTCCTTCTCTTAGAAGACTTGTGTCGATTAGTTCCTCCATTACCAATCAATACCTTGGCTTGTTCTGTTGTTATATTTGGAGGCAGTGCCAAGGAGAGAGGAGTTCTAGGAGAGGTAGCATCTTGCATAAAACTACTAATAAAGTCAGTTTCATTCAGAGAGCGTGATTTGTTATCTAGGTTGTGTACAAGTTGTTGAAGAGGATTGCTTCTCTTATTACTACTAATACTGCTGTTTGAAAGTTTAGAAGAGCTATTATTATTGAAGGAGTGAGCCTGTTGAGAATTGATGGAAAATACATCAGGTGAAATACTACCCGAGTAGACATCGACTTCATCATCATAATCTTCATCATTACTATTGATAGCACCATCATCATCACTTGTACTACTTGCATAATTATAAAAGTCATAACCATTATCATAATAATTATTCGGATTGTTAAGAGGCTTCATAGTTCCTTCCCGGAAGCCTTCATCAGTCTTCCCACTTTGAATAAAACTAGTACTCATGTTATTGTTGTTGTGGTTTTATGGGTAACAATCTATGTGCTGCTGTGGACGACTACTTTGTAGAAGGTTGAATGTGTGTTACCAGAGTTGTGTTCTTCGTCAGTAGATTTTGGAATGAGCGGGAAATTGTTGTTTTTTTTTGAAATAAAAGTAATAACCGTTGTTCGTCTGATAACTTTGTTTTAAAAACGACCAACTACTGCCCATCAAATAAATACTGTTGGATAATGATGATACTCAGTACGATAATAAACAGGAGCTGTGTGAGGAATGAACCTGGGCGATGAATAATTAAAGTGGTTGTTTTTTATTTTGATGTGGAGACAAGTGAACCAAGAGAGACACCAACCTCTAACAAATTGGATTTTCGCTCCAGCCTTTGCCGGCCAGGAAAATTGTACAAGGTTGGAACAAAACAGCCCAAAGAGGAACCAAGCAACCCAACCAGTGAGAAGTAATCTCTCTGCTGTATTATGGAATTTACTATCCAATAATAAAAAGATAATTGTATCAACTGGGTTGATAGTATTGATGGTAATGTATTACAGTTTTACAATGGTTAGATAATGATAGGGTTTTTATGAGGAAGCTGATGTTGGAAATTTTAGAAACTTGAAGAGAACTTGGTTGGAATATCGGGATGTTGATGAGCTTTTCAACAATTTGTTTGAATGAGGCTTTTCCAAGTTGATTGATCTACAGTGATTCGTTACAATGTGATTTTCATTTCCTCATGATTCTTTGTAATTGGTTCTTAATGGTTCAACAAGAGTGTTTATTGTCATGTTTATTAATGTCTCAGATTTTAAATATTTTCTCGTTCAAAAAATATTCAACAAATGGTACTGTGGACATGAGGATTTTCGGAGTGGTTTTACATCATGAAACCACCAAACTTTCACATCATTATCTCAACATGATCTTTTGTAATTTTTATTGGTGGATTATCATCATGAAATTGGAATTTATTTTTCATGATGGAAAATCACAATTTGGTGTTCCATCATCGGATCATTCACCAACCATCATTATTGTTTTCCATCAATATAATAATAGTATTTATGGAAATTAATTTTTAGTAATGTAATTTTGGTGAAATGTCCAAAATTTTCACTAAATTCATCACTGCTGGATCTACTGGACAAGTTGGAAAACTGGCAATTTTGAAAAAGTATGGACCATAACTCAACATGTACTTCACCAACTTGAATCATATCTTTTAGTACTATTTAAATAGATAATAAACATCATATTTAATATCAGATTTTCGTCATGTTGTCAATTTACCAAGTTCCGATATTTGATGCTACCAGAGTGGATTCATAGCTCAATTACAAATCAAACAACAATTCATAATGCTTATTATGTTATTAAATTTATAATTTAGAGTCTTGTAGCATAATTTGTGAAAATAATGGTGATATTTTCATGTTTTTATTGTTTTTCTCATGATGTAGACATTGTCTCTCACTGAAACATCACGAATAGCATGTCATTTATCCATTCTCTACCAGATTATTATCTTTTACTGTAATTTTCACTATTGGATATTTTACTTTTAATATTTGTGATACTTTACTATTATATTCAATANATAAGGGATAAGAAATATTCATTAGAAGAAGATAGATTCCTAGTAATATTCTCTCAATTTATATTTCTAACTAGTAATTCTAACCAGAGGTGTAGGTTTGGTTCTGAACTCATTTAATGTTTTGAAATTTTTACG